AGAAACTGGTGAGCACTCATGGCATCTCCTGTTGTAGTGTTTTCTGGACAACAAGGAAGGTAAAAACACCTTGATGTCCAGATGGAGGGTGTCAAACAACCAGATGGGGATTGGGATGGGTCCAATAGAAACTGGTGAGCACTCATGGCACATCTTATTGTAGTGTTTTCTGGTCTGCAAGGTAGGTGAGAACACCTTGATGTCTAGGTAGAGGGTGTTAAACAACCAAATGGGGATTGGGATGGGTCCAATAGAAACTGGTGAGCACTCATGACACCTTCTGTTGTAGTGTTTTCTGGACAACAAGGTAGGTCAGAACACCTTGATGTCCAGGTGGAAGATGTCAAACAAGTAGATAGGGATTGGAATGTGTCCAATAGAAACTGGTGAGCACTCATGGCACCTTACATTGTAGTGTTTTCTGGACAATAATGTAGGTCAGAACACCTTGATGTCCAGGTGGAGGGTGTCAAACAACCAGATGGGGATTGGTATGGGAACAATAGAAACTGGTGAGCACTCATGACTCCTCTCATTGTAGTGTTTTCTGGACAATAAGGTAGGTCAGAACACCTTCATGTCCAGTTGGAGGGTGTCAAACAACCAGATGGGGATTGGGATGGGTCCAATAGAAACTGGGTAGCGCTCATGGCATCTCCTGTTGTAGTGTTTTCTGGACAACAAGGTAGGTCAGAACACTTTGATGTCCAGGTGGAGGGTGTCAAACAACCAGATGGGGATTGGGATGGGTTCAATAGAAACTGGTGAGCACTCATGACACCTCTCATTGTAGTGTTTTCTGGACAACAAGGTAGGTCAGAACACTTTGATGTCCAGGTGGAGGGTGTTAATATTCAGGAGGGTTAGATATGGGTGCAATAGAAACTGTTTTTCCATTCATTCATTTATAACCTATCAAAACTGCCTTTCTCTTCAGTTGCTCAATACAATTTTCTTTCCATCTTTGACCAATCATGTTTGCATTTCCATCTGTGAACACAATTGGTCACAAGTACCTTATTATCAATGACATACCACAATTGCCTTTTATCCATATCTGATCACAGTTTGCTTATCTGTAACCAGTCACAGTGAATCTGCATGTGATCAGTCACAATTTGCCTTATCCTATGTGACCAATTACAATGAGTTATATCTGTGTCCAATCATAATCACTTTTATCTTTGACCAATCACAGTTGCCTTTCCATCTGAAACCAAGCAAAACTATATTGCCTTGCTTTATGTGACCAATCACAGTGGGTTTTCCATATTTTACTGTTCACAGAATGAGATGCCTTTCCTTCTGTTCATTTCTAATCACATTCCTAGCCATGTCAGGAGTTTCTTACTTGCTTTTCTTTGAAATTGGAAAAGACGTTAAAACTTCTCAGGTAGACAGTAATAGAGGCCAGAGGGCAAGAGGTCAGAGGTTAAGTGTTTTATTTATTTCAATTAGACTCTCCAGAACAAGTGACATCTGTCATTCCATCCTGTAGATGTTACACCTTGCCCAGTGATCTGCCAGGTTTCTTTTTTTTTTTATTGTAGTATTTTGGACATTATTTTGGAAACTAGCCATGTTGCCATTTCAAAATGTAAACAGTGCAAGATTTCAGTTGTTAGCTTTTTGTGAATCAGCATTTTGGACATTGGTCACTATGTCAGTTTTCTAAAGATAAACAACAATTTACCCTTCATGTAGACAGTGCAAGATTCTAGCAATTAGATTTTGTGAATCAGCATGATTAAGTATTATATCTCAGTGACTACCTGTAGTAGACAAAACGCATTCAGTAAATTTCAGTGAACTTACAGAACAATCCGTCCATGAGTAATTAATTCATACAAGATGTTTTTGACGTTGCCAAACATTGTTAGGTAACTTTGTCGCAGGACTATCTTTGATGTAAATCAGGATCTCATTTTTAGTGCCTATAACATACAGCCATACTTGTCAGAATTGGAATGATCTGATCACAAATTATCCTTAGCCTTTACAACAGGTTTAATTTAATTAAAAATAATATGTGAAAATTTTTAATGTGTTACCCACTTAACATTTAGCCTTTTTTCTCAAGTAGTTCATTGTGCCATTCAATTTATGTAAAAATTCAGTTGTTCAGTCAGTTTTGGGTTCAACCTCAATTTTAAGTAAAATTGTTTTATTATATAAAATCATACTCGTTTAAGCAACATTCTGTTTGCCACTTTATGTCATTTATCATTATTTGTTGGGAATTTTAATGGTAAAAAGTGTTTTTTCATGGTTACCAGATTAATTTCTAAAGCTTCAGCATAGGACATCAATTATTATTATGCCTTAAAATAAATTCTAGCATGTAGTTTTCTTTTTATACCTAGGCCTTTGAATAGTTGAAAATTAAAATTAATATCATAAGTTCTTAAACCAATATATAAATCAACCATATATACACATTACCAACTGTGATGCCACATATATGCCTCTCTATTGAAATATTTAGCCGCTTATTTATTTATGAAATCTCAAACGTCCATTGTTAAGTTTTATACAAATTGCAACACCATACCCACAAAGATTGTTGTTGATGTAATGGGTTCTCTCTATACTTTTGTACATACCTCAAACATGACAAACTATTGTATATAGCTGTACAACCATACTGGATAGACAAAAAAATGTCAATATTTATAATAAACTATTTTTGTACAATACAAAATGTGTGGATGTTTGTATTTTATTATTTTATTTGAAAGATGACAAGTGTTATTTATGGGAAAATGTTGACTAAAAGATTCTGAGATAAATCTTCTGTTAATTAAAAATTAACTTTGACAGGGTCACATTTCAGTCACTTGAAAAAAAATGAGCCCCATTTTTCTGACATAGTGACATCAAGGTGATTAAAACCTTAAAAAGCTACTTAACAGATTCCAATTATGTAATTGCAATGACGAAAGTACATCTTTAACTCCAAATAAAACTTACACAACTGATCTTCTATTCTTTTTATTTGCCATAATATTATATCGACAAATGGGACACATATGTCTGACAAATATGCTTCATATTCTAAACGAAAAAAATCATTTTGGCTAACTGCACAATATCTTTGCACTCCTCGGTTAATAAAAAAATTTACCAAGAAGACAGACAACTTTTTATAAGAAGCAAAAATAAAATATTCAGGACAATGTTGAAACATCACCTGTGAATATCCAAATATTTGGTTATTTGCCATGTTTTGTTTGTAAATAGCCACAAACAAACAACATAAAATTTGATCACTTTTCCCATACTTTCAGAGCTGACTTTTTTCCATCTTGAATGAGCACACAGTTACCAGTCCATCTCATCTTGCATGGCAGTTCCATCTACATCTGATATTTATTATACCTTACGAAATTCACTTCACAACACAAATAATTTTCTCCATTTTTCTCTCCAAATATCCATGCAACAATGTGATCATTTCCTCATGCAGTATAGTGCCCTCTACAACTGTATTATAAGCAAAACCTACGAAAAATGCTTTCGGGAAAGAGGTGACTGTTATCAGCCTAAGTTAGCCAATATTGTGGTGGACCACACCTGCAGATTGTTTGTTGGTCTTGTCATGTGCAGCAATGCCACCTATGATTGTGATGACACTGGGTTCTCTGTGGTGCTAGATGGTTTCTGTTCATCCTCTTTCATTTTCTCAAACATATCGTGCTTCCATTCTGAAATAAACACAAAAAATAGGGAAAAATAAATAGATGAATGAATCATGACCAATAATGGGGAATTATCTATTGCTTTCTATACCCACACATATCCTAGCAAAGCCATGTTGTTTTTTAGTCTTGTTTGATATCAAACAGTGCCAACAGCCTCATGTTACTAATTGATGACTTTCATAAGAATCTTCCAAAGCAACTTTCAGTCTCCTACATTTTAAACTCATTTATCCATTCCCAATTTTACACTTAGAACTTTGATCAAAAAGCACTGACCAACACTGTCTGTACATATAAAATACACAATAAGGGAACAAAAATATAGTCTAAACATGACTACAGACCTCTATCTCTGTCTGCTCCTCCCACTCTGTCACGGTCTCTGTCCCGATCCCTATCCCGCTCTCTGTCCCGATCCCTATCCCGATCTCTGTCCCGGTCATCATCTCGCCATCTAGATTGATTCCTGTCTCCTCTGTGACCAGTATTGTGATATCCCCGACCACGGCCTCTGTCTCCTCGTCCCCTGAACCCACCACGCCCGCGATAGTCACCCCTTCCACGGAAAAAGCCCCGTCCTCTCCCTCTTCCCCGCCTCTCCCAGTAGTCAAACTCCCCTCGATTGTCATGCTGGAAAAAATATTTAAAAACTGTTTGTTGTAGGTGTTAGCAAGATAGTTATAACAAGAATACAAAACCAAGGTCAGAGTCAGAGTCTACAGTTTAACATAGGATTTGGGAAAATAAGAATGTTATAATTCTAAACTGAATTTCCTAATTCTTACTTCTAAGAGGAACTATAATTTTAAAGCCTAGAAGTATTGGATTTTTTTAACTTCATGAGCATTTCCTGCTTTTAAATAAATTTCCTGCTAATAAATGAACATCTGCTTCTCTGACCTCATAGTAAGAAGATCCTTTTGGTATTAGCTCAGGGTTTTCTTTCCACGGTTCGTACACACCTTTGTCTGAAATTATTAAGTTGAATAAAAAAATATATAACTGACTGAAAAAAGAGAGAGAGAGAGATAACCCAAAAATTTTTCAATAAACAAACAAGTAAATAAAAAATAAATGTTAAAGAATTTTAAACAGCATCCACCAGATATATTATCAACTAAAATGACAGTTGGGTGTGCATTTTACTATACCTGGACGTTGTGCAAAATCTGGCAAAGGTTCTTGTGAGCTGTTTGCTTGCTGTAGTAGTCTCTGAACTACATCTGCAATAAGTTAAAACACAATCAATAAAATAATTAAAATAAAGATAAAAGTCAGAATGATAACAAAACAAAAATTTAATGATGGAAATAATAATATATGTTAATAATAATAATAATAATAATAATAATAATAATACATGTTTTAAAAAGGAAAGAACAAAAGAAAGGAATCTAAAGTTATGTAGGGCAGTTTATGTAATTATTCATTGGCGGGGGGGGGGGG